ATCCCACTCTTCACATGCCAAGAAAAAAAATTCCCAAAATGAATCCAAGCAATTTAACTCATTCGTAGGCATAAAAAGCGAGAAAGTATTTTTTCACGAGGTTTTTTACGCTGTTCTATGAGTTAAAGGTTTCAAATTCAGCTTCAACGCATGCCTATGTCATATGTGCCGAAACATCAAAGTTGACACTGAGGCAGAATGACTAGAGCGCTAAATCTTTGCAAGAATGTTTCTTATCAATAAATGGGCATCTTGGCATAAGTTTTGGCATTCGCTTGTGATGCGTATTCGAATAAGTCAAGAATGTTTGTAACGCAAAGTGGTTTCGCTAACCAATCACGATAGGGAGCTAAAACTTTGCGAAGGTTTTCTGTGCCTGTATGCGACCGAAATATTTCAAATTCAGCTTTAAGCACGTCTAGGATTCAGGTGCACACAGGTGAAAGTCTAGTTTAAGACATTGTTGGTAGTCAATTAACTCGGTAATCGGACTTTTGACTAGGAAGCAGTATTTTTCTGAAAATTGTTGCTGTTTATGTGCAGGCCAGTAAGCGAAAGATGAGTTTCTGCCTTGGCATGGGTCCTGCATACAGGCGCAACAAATGTTGCTACACCGCAATCACCATCCCCTGTTCTTTAGTAACCCTTCCATCGGATGGAATTATTCAAAAATGCACGATCACACCGATAAGCCTGATGCGTTGCTACCTGGGTTTTATGCTATTTTGTTTCATTACAAAGTTTTTAGGGGTGGATGTAGTTAATACTGCAAATTACGCCAGAATCAACTGGGACACGACATACAGTTACTGCAGTGCCCTATCATTTCAGCTTTCAAATTTGCTAAAAGTTAACAACTGAAGCCCTTCTTTACGAATAAAGCAAACCTCCAGCTTGATAATGGTCTTCAACCGTGATAATACGGTTTCCTGCTCTCCTCGCTGACGCCACAATCAGTTTCTTATCCAGTGGCTTAATTGTGAATGGGTCCAGCACAAGCACTTCGACATTTTCTGACTTTAGTTTCTCTGCCGCTTTTTGTGCTTCGTACAGTGTTACGCCTGCGCCAATTAGAAGCACTTTAGGTTTGCTGGCTTCATGCACAATCTGCAAAAAAAAACCCCTTTTACTGTCTTATGCGATAAGGGCAGGACAGCTGATGGTGTGGATATTTGAATGTTATATCTGGGATGTAATTAACAACTCAACGGAACTGTAAGATCCTCTTTTTCTGCTTGCGTGTTTTAAATTTAAACTCTGCCATCCTCCTCTTCCTCCCCCCTCCCCCCTTCCCCCCTCCTTTCGATGCATGCCAGGAATTGAAGACAAGGAATAAAGCCCATCCTCTCCACAACATTTGCAGTTGAGAGAGCCATGTTAATGATATTATCAATGGGGTACACTTAAGCATCCGAAATTTAACTATGCCAGATCTTTGCGATTCTGAGTTGCATACTTCCCGGTGGTACTAATCGCTGGTTCGAAGCAGGTGCTTCATCTCTTTAAAGGCCAGATTTGCAAAGACAACTTAAACTCCGCTCATCAGATGCGTCTGATCATTCAGAGAGTTAAAAGGACATCTCTTTCGTCCCATCGCTTTTCCCTCTAAAGCTTTTATTTTGCGCAATGAACAACTCGCGACAATCGTAAAGAAAAAAAACGGCAAATGGTACACAAGAAGCAAAAACCCACTTTTCCTTTGCCGATTTCGAAAACCTCGTCGTTTTTATAAATGACCGGACAAGCCGGACGTCCCGTGCGTATGAATGCGATTCCACGAGTATTTGCCGCCAATTCAGTGGCACGTTCCGCTGCCACTGCATCGGTTGGATAGAACACGACCGATCCAGGAATAGTCCTATCATATCTCACTCAGTTTTGTCCCCATAAATCATAAATTTTGTGATTGGAATCGCCGTACTTTAATGCTTGATCGAATTTTTTTTAATGAAGTAATATGCACTGGGCCATTTTATTCGTGAGTTTTAAAAACCTTTGTTAAACCCCAGCGAACTATGAAACCGGGCTGTAAGAGAAATCACAGTGTGAAAACTAGTCCGTTAAACCGCTCAGGCACTAAATGCTGAGGCTATGTTGGTGGCCGCGTGCAGTACTGTACTGCTCAGATTCTTTCAAAGCCACTTGCCAGTAGGAACCAGTAGCTATTGCGTTGAAAGTCAGCCAGACAAAAAAAAAAAACGCAAATTTTTATAAAAATTCCCAAAACATAACTAACAAGGTTCTTGGTCACATCATTTCCCAACTGCACACCATGAGGCTTCTTGGAATAAAAACAGGGCCGACGCACAAAGACATTACTTT